CCACTTGAGCCACAGCGCCACTTCTGGCTTTTTTCTTATGTGGTACTGAGGAATCAAACCCAGGGCCTCATGCATGCAAGGCAAGCGCTCTACCACTGAGCCACCTTCCCAGCCCTGAGAATTAGAGCTTTTTAGGCTGCTTCAAATGTTATAAATATTCAAAAAAGGTTTCCCTCAGGGTGCTGGTGGCTCACTCCTGTAATCCTAGCTACTCTGGAGACTGAGATCTGATGATCTTGGTTCAGAGCCAGCTCAGGCAGGAAAGTTCCTAAGCCTATTATCTCCAGTTAACCACCAGAAAAACTAAAAGTGGTACTATGGCTCAAGTGGTAGAGCGCTATCCTTGAGCTGAAGAGCTGAGGGACAGCACCCAGGCTTCAAGCCCCAGAACTGACGAGGGGGCGGGGGTGGGGTGGGGGCGAAAGAAAGAAAGAAAAAGAAAGGAAGGTAGGTTGGTTTCCCACCCCTGGGTTACTTACAGGCATGGGCCACCCACAGCCAGCTTTTTTGAGAGTCTCTCACTATATATAGTCCAGGCTAGTATGAAACTTGTAATCTTCCTGCTTCAGTTTCCCAAGTGCTAGGATGATGCACCACCACACCCAGCTGTGACAGTTGCTTTTACTTCTGTTTAATATATACCTAGGGAATTGATAGGTAATATGGTAATCATAGTTTAATTATTTTGAGGACATCTTAAATATCATTAGTGTTTCACATTTTTATTTCTGTGTCTTTGCTATATTATGCTTAGTAAAATTTAATTCATCAAATCTTTGAATCTTTACATATGCAAGATACCATGCTAAGTAGTAGAAGCTATATTCATTTCAGGGGTTAAGATAGGATTCTTTTTATTGTTGTTGTTGGTTGTGGGGTTTGAACTCTGGGCCTGGGCGCTGTCCCTCAGCTCTTCAGCTCAAGACGCTACAACTTGAGCCACAGCACCACTTCTGGTTTTCTGGTGATTTATTGGAGATAAGAGTTTCCTTGCCTGGACTGTCTTTGAACCGTGATCCTGAGATCTCAACCTCCTGAGTAGCTAGGATTACAGGTGTGAGCCACCAGTGCCCGCCTAAGATAGGATTGTTAGAAGTGAGAAGTTTTTGGCCTATTGGTAGTAAGTTATATCTATCCTAGAAGGCATAATTTAAAAACACCTTTAGGATTTCTGAGAGGTAGATTACTTTCAGATAGAGAATTAGAGCTTTTTTGGGAGGGGGGAGGAGTCCAGTCGTGGGGCCTGAACTCTGGGCCTGGGCGCTGTCCCTCAGCTCTTCAGCTCAAGGCTAGCACTCTACCACTTGAGCCACAGCGCCACTTCCGGCTTTTTTCTTTTTGCTTATGTGGTGCTGAGGAATCAAACCCAGGGCCTCAAGCATGCAAGGCAAGCGCTCTACCACTGACCCACCTTCCCAGCTCTGAGAATTAGAGCTTTTTAGGCTGCTTCTTGAGTCTGAGTAGACGCCTATTTCTTGACTGTCAAGGCTGAGGAATTTAAATTCTATTCTTTGGATAGTGGGGAACAGATAATGATAAGCAAGGAATGATATAATTTGATGCTGAATTTATAAAGAGAAAATATTAGCCTATAGGATAAGCTAGAGTAAATGATAAAATAGACCAATAATTGCCAAGATATCAGTTGCTTGGTTGGTTGGTTTTACCAGTACAGGAGTTGAAGCTCTGTGCCTCAGGTTTGTTCAGCGTGCTTGCTCACTCATTTGACACTCTACCACTTGAACTATACTTCCAGTCCTGCTTTTTTGTTGGTTACTTTGGAGGTGGAGTCTTGTCGACTTTTCTGCCCTAGCTGGCTTCACATCTTGATCCTTTGTATTTCAGCCCTCTGAGTATCTTGGGTTATAAGTGTAAGCCACCATGGTGGGCTGTTTTACTTTTTGACATGGTGTCTCATGTCACCTCTACTGCTCTTGAACTCAAAATTCTCCTGCCTTTGTCTCCTAAGAAACTAAGGTTATAAGCAAGCATGTGTGACTTCACTCAGCCCAGAAATTGTTTGTTTTGTCAGTTGTAGGGCCTGAACTCTGGGCCTGGGCGCTGTCCTTCAGCTCTTCAGCTCAAGGCTAGAGCTCTATCACTTGAACCACAGCGCCACTTCTGGCTTTTTCTGCTTATGTGGTGCTGAGGAATCGAACCCTGGGCCTCATGCATGTTAGGCAAGCACTCTACCACTGAGCCACCTTCCCAGCCTTTTCTGTTGCTTTTTTTTTTTTTTTTTTGGTCAGTTGTGGGGCCTGAACTCTGGAACTGGGCACTGTCCTCAGCTCTTCAGCTCAAATATAGGGCTCTACCACTTGAGCCACAAGGCCACTTCTGGCTTTTTCTGCTTATGCAGTGCTGAGGAATCGAACCAGGCCTTCATGCATGCAAGGCAAGCACTGTACCACTGAGCCACCTTCCCAGCCCTCCTTGTTTTTTTAAACAAACAGGAACAACAAGACTGGCAAGCATTTGGAACTAGGATAGTGACAAGTGAAAATGGGGGAGTAATAAAATGAAACTCAGAACTTTTCCCCTAAATGTTACCTTTGCCCTGCCTTTCAACATCTAACAATTCGGAAGTTTTTTAAATTTTTTGTTGTCATGGGGCTTGAACTCTGAACTGAGGTGTTATCCCTGCGCTCTTCTGCTCAAGGTGAGCACTTTACTGCTTGAGCCACAGCACCACTTCCGGTTTTCTAGTGGTTTGTTGGATATAAGAGTCTCACGGAGGGGCTGGGAAGTAGCTCAGTGGTAGAGCGCTTGCCTTGCATGCCTGAGGCCCTGGGTTCGATTCCTTAGCACCACATAGGCAAAAAGAAAGAAGTCAGAAGTGGTGCTGTGGCTCAAGTGGTAGAGCGCTAGCCTTGAGCTGAAGAGCCTAAGGGACAGCGCCCAGGCCCAAAGTTCAGGCCCCATGACCGGACCCAAAAAAAAAAAAAAGTCTCACAGAGTTTTCTGCCCGGGCTGGCTTTGAACTGTGATCCTCAGATCTCAGCCTCCTCGGTAGCTAGGATTACAGGCGTGAGCCACCGGCGCCTGGCTCCAGTTCTGAAAAATTTGTACTTGAAACAGGTCTCTTCTTAAGCTTTAGAGCTCGTGCTTGACACCCCCCCTCCCCCACATACACACCCCGGTCTCTCTCTGTGTCTCTCTCTCTTTTCAGGTGTGGGGCTTGAACTCTGGGCCTGGGCGCTGTCCCACAGCTCAAGGAGAGCAGTCTATCACTTGAGTCACAGCGCCATTTCTGGTTTTCTGGTGGTTTATTGGAGATAATAGCCTCATGGACTTTCCTGCCCGGGCTGGCTTTGAACCACGACCCTCAGATATCAGCTCCTGAGTAGCTAGGATTACAGGCGTGAGCCACTGGCACCCAGCTCATATTTTTAAATGTTTAAAAAAGGTGATAAAAGCCAGGAGCTGTTGGCTCATGCCTGTAATCCTAGCTACTCAGGAGGTTGAAGTCTTAAGAATCGCAGTTCACAGCTAGCCCAGGCAGGAACGTTTGTGAGACTCTAATTAACCACCAGAAAACTGGAAGTAGTGCTATGGCTCAAAGTAGTAGAGTGCTAGCTTTGAGCAAGAAGCTCAGGGACAGCATTCAAGCCCTGAGTTCAAGCTCCAGGACTAACAAAAAAAGAAAAAAAGATGGAAGTGGAGTAAAAAAACAACAAATCTGGTGATATGTGCCTGTAATCTCAGCTACTTGGCATGTAGCAATTATGATGATCACAGTTTGGGGCTAGCTGGAGCAGAATAGTCTGAGAGATTCCAATTCCAAAATAACCAAAAGACAAGCTGGATGTGGTATAGATTGCCAGCCAAGCAAGCAAGAAAAATTAGTTCAGGACCAACGTGAGTAGTATAGTAAGACATCCTGACATATCTAATATATTACTACAAGTGGTAGCAATTAAAATATAAATTGTGTTTAAAGATTTTTACTAAAACAAGACATTGTGTTAAAAAACGAACTCTAGGGGCTGGGAAGGTGGCTCAGTGGTAGAGCGCTTGCCTTGCATGCATGAGGCCCTGGGTTCGATTCCTCAGGACCACATAAGCAAAAAGAAAATAGCCAGAAGTGGTGCTGTGGCTCAAGTGGTAGAGCGCTAGCCTTGAGGTGAAGAGCTGAGGGACAGTGCCCAGGCCCAGAGTTCAGGGCCCATGACCGGACCCCCCCCCAAAAAAAAAAAAAACAACTCTACACTTTGCGGGGGGGGGAAGTTGGGAAGGTGGGGAAGGAAGGGATGACTGGGGGGAAACAAAGGAGGGGGCAACAATGCTCAAGAGGAAATGTACTAATTATCTTATATAACTGTAACCCCTCTGTACAGTATCTTTACAATAAAAATATTTTAAAAAAGATTTTGACTAAAGATCTTAGTGTGATTAATCATTTGTCACTTTATCATTATGTATGATAATGATTTTACTTCTTGTGATTCTGTGTTGTTCTTTTCCATTTACAGATTGATAGATTTAAATTGCCTTTTTAATGATTGAAAAGTGATGGAGAGGGATCCAAAATATCAAGTGACTTCTCTACCAAAGCAGTAGAAGATTCTTCATATCACCTTCTGAAAAATCAGTTCAGGTTTTGGGAAGGAGGAGAACAAGTGAAATACGGAAAACAAGAAGAAAACCTCATTTACGAATTGTCTTCCCCTACTCCCTTTTCTCTCACCATCTTTCTACTTGTTTTAGTTTTGCTTTGAATTTATAAATAGTGAAGACCAAAGAAATAATATACATATTTAAGAGCTTTATATCAAGAAATTGGACTCCAAAACTTCTGTTCTGTGGAGGGAAAAGTATATCAAGTTCTTATCTGATTTTTTTAAACAAAATTTCTTATGTTCTTTGACTTTAAAGATTAACAAATGTAGATACATATCTGCACATTTTGTAAGAATGATGAGATTTGTGTTCTAAGGGCTTTGTCATATGGGTGTGCCACTGGAGTTGACTCTTCAAATCTTTTCTAGTGCTTTAATATTCTATTTTTGATCTCATTTTGACATTATTTACCCACATGGGAGGCTACTTATCTTTCTAGCTATGACCTTATTATAATAGTTTGCACTCACTGTGCAAATGTCCATGTATTACCTATTTAAGCAACATCCTAGTGCCATTATTCAAGAAGTTGAATGAGGTGAACATAGATATAACTTTTTCCCCTTTCCCCTTTTTTAAATGTAACAAATACTGTTTATGTTCCCCTTCCCCCTTCCCCCTCCCCCTTCCCCTTTTTTGAAACGTGTCAGGAACTAGAGTAGTTTAGGATGAGTAATTGAGGGGACAAAGAAAGTGAACTACACAGAGCCGGGCTTCTTTGTTCTTCGACACAAGGCGTGCTGCTGACCAGGCTACTTAAAGCACCCTTTCAACAAGAAAACCTCCTGGAAGATCCAGCTGGCAAACTCAAGGAGTTCAGGAAACAGGACCACAGAGGTTACACTCTGGGGTAAATACTCATTATATCTTAACTTAGGGATAAAACCACATGTCATGAAAAATACTTCTTGCTTTCTGCAGTAGTTTTTGGAGAATATCAATGGATTGCTGAGGAAAACTGATGATAATTTATATTTGTGGAAATGAGTATGTAGTTAATATAAAAGTCCTGGAGAGTTTGTCTTTTTCTCTAGGAAGATCTTTTCTGTTGCTTTTGTCAGAAATGACCCAAGTATAGTAGACAAGTGTTTACTGCTATTTTGAGTAGATGTTTTTTTTTATAATTTAATTTTATTGTCAAGGTCATGTACAGAGGGCTTAGTTACATACATAAGGAAATTGGTACATTTCTTGTTGAACATTATTACACCCTCCCTAGTTTTTCTCCCACTTTCCCTACATGCCCAGTTTCCCACACACACACACACACAGATGTTTATTTTTTTTTCTTTTTTTTTCCAGTCCTAGAATTTGAACTCAGGGCCTGGGTGCTGTTCCTGAGCCTTTTTTTTTTTTTTTGCTCAAGGCTAACAGTCTACCATTTGAGCCACAGTGCTTCTTCCAGTTTTCTGGTGGTTTATTGGAGATAAGCGTCTCATGGCCTTTTCTGCCTGGGCTGGCTTTGAACCATGATTCTCAGATCTCAGCCTTCTGAGTAGCTAGGATTACAGGCATGAGCCACCAGCACCCGGCCTAGATGTTTATTCTTTATGGTTTTTTGTTTTGTTTTGTTTTTTTGGCCAGTCCTGGGGCTTGGACTCAGGGCCTGGGCACTGTCCCTGAGCTGCTTTTGCTCAGTGATAGTACTTGAGCCACAGTGCCACTTCTGGCCTTTACTGTTTATGTGGTGCTGAGGAATTGAACCCAAGGTTTCATGCATGCTAGACAAGCACTCTTCCACTAAGCCACATCCACACCCCTCTTCACATTCTTTTGATAAAACCCAATAATGTATTCATTTCCATCATGCAACCCTCCATACTTGAATTCTCTCCTTTCCTCTTACCTTTCTTCCCTCCCTCTCCTTTTTCCTCCCTCCCTTCCTCCCTTCCTGTGGGTGTGTGTGTTTCGTGGTCATGAAACTTTATGAGACCATTTGAATTGCTTAGAACTTCTCTTGATTGGAGCTTTATTAGTAATCTATAGAGAGTCTAATAAAGTAAAATGAGAGATCATAGGTTAATCACTAATTCCTTTATACATTGGTATGTAGGATTCTTAAAAGCATAAGTGATTTGAGTTGTCTCTTTCAGATCCTGGCCATGAGGTTGGATGCCTCACCTTGTTGAAAAGACACTGGACCTAAATGGCGCAGCATGACTTTGTTCCTGCTTGGCTAAATTTCTCAACACCACAGTCAGCGAAGGTACTCTTCTCTATTTCTGTAATAACTACCCCACATACTGGTTCTTTTCCTCCTTAGATTAACTCTGTATTTGTTTTTTTGTTGTTGTTTGGTTTGTTTTTTATTGATTTGGGAAGAAACGTATGTTGCATTAGGAATATAAAGACATGGAACAGCCGGGCGCTGGTGGCTCATGCCTGTAATCCTAGCTACTCAGGAGGCTGAGATCTGAGGATTGCGGTTCAAAGCCAGCCCAGGCAGGAGAGACCGTGAGACTCCTATCTCCAATAAACCACCAGAAAACCGGAAGTGGTGCTGTAGCTCAAGTGGTAGAGCACTTGCCTTGAGCTGAAGAGCTGAGGGACAGCGCACAGGCCCAAAGTTCAAGCCCCACGACCGACAAAAAAAAAAAAAAAAGACATGGAACAACTAGAACATATAATTAAAGCAAACATAATCACATTAAATAGAACAGTGTAAGTTGATGAGGTAAACCACTTGGGAAACTGGTAAAATTAAAAGTGCTTCCATTTTGCCAATTAATTGAGGAACAAAGTGATAAGGAGTTCCACAATTTACCTATGTGTCTCTAATGTGAATTTTTGGGACAGTATTCTTTTTTTTTTCTTAATTGTGAAAATACGGTACAGAGGAGTTACAATTACATGGGCAAGATAATAAGTACATTTCTTACCAAGCATTGTTTCCTCCTCCTTTGTTTCCCCTTACCATATCCCACCCCCTCAACAGTGTTCTTGTTCTTATCTAGACATACAACTTTTTAATCTAAATTTCATTTTGAATTATCTTCATTATCTCATGAATTACTTTAATAATCTGACCTACGTGTTGGTGGAAGTGGGCCAGAGAAAGAGATAGTGGGGTCCAGAGAAAATTTTTTTTGCCAGTCCTGGGGCTTGAATTTAGGGCCTGGTCACTGTCCCAGAGCTTCTTTTGCTCAAGGCTAACACTACCACTTGGGCCACACACAACACCACTTCTGGCTTTTTCTTTTATATAATCCAACCCAGGGCTTCATGCATGCTAGGCAAGCACTTTACCACTAAGCCACATTCATGGCCCCAAATTTTTTTTTTTTAACAAGGAATCTATTTTTGTGGGTTTTTAAAAATTGCTTATTTATTTTTATTCATTTATTTTTGCTGTTCATGGGGCTTGAACTCGGCCTGCGTTCTGTCTCTGAGCTCTTTTGCTCAAGGCACCATAGTGCCACTTCCATTTTTTTTTGTTGTTGTTGTTGGTCGTGGGGCATGAACTCTGGGCTTGGGCACTGTCCCTCAGCTCTTCAGCTCAAGGCTAGGGCTCTACCGCTTGAGCTACAGTGCCACTTCGGTTTTCTAATGGTTTACTGGAGATAAGAGTCTCATGGACTTTCCTGCCCTGGCTGGCTTTGAACCTCGATCCTCAGATCTGAGCCTCCTGAGTAGCTAGGATTACAGGCTTGAGCCACCCACCAGCACCAGGCTCACTTCCAATTTTTGAGACGTTAATTGGAGATAAGAGTCTCCTGGACTCCTGTCTGGGCTGGCTTTGAATCTTGATCCTCAGATCTCAGCCTCCTGAGTAGCTAGGATTACACGTGTGAGCCACCAGGGCCCAGCTTAAATTTTTAATGGTTATTTTTCCTTTCATTTATTAATTTTATTGTTTATGTGGTACCAAGAAATTAAACTCAGCATCTCATGCATGTTAGGCAATAACAAAATCACATTCCCTCCTCTTTCCTTTTTTTAAAAAAATTGTTACTATAAAGGTGATATACAGAAGGTTTATAGTTACATAAGTCAGTTGAAGAGTACATTTCTTTTTGGACAATGTCACCCCTTCCCTTACTATCTACCAATTTTTTCCTCGCATCTCCACCCCACAGGTTGTATCATTCTTTTTCTACATAATGTCTAGTGAGTATCACTACTGCATTTGTTCACTCCTTATCACTCTATTTGTGTCCCTCTTTACTCTCCCAAAGATACATAAATGGACAAACAAGGAAAAGGAAAACAAAAACAGCAATGAAGAAAAAAACCTCATTTTGATAAATATTACTTCATATAATCAGATGTAGATAGATGGGCATTATACCTTTGTGTTCCTCTCCTAAGAGTGTCTTCCTTGTGTCTCACTGTGTGTGAATCCCTAAAGTCCTGAATAATTTATCATGTTTCAGTGTATTTTAAATCTAGCTTTTGCATATCAGAGAAAATATGTGCCATTCAAAAAAATTGTTTTGTTTTGTTGCCGGGTGCTTGTGACTTGTGCCTGTAATGCTGCCTACCCAGGAGGCTGAGTTTTTTGTTTTTTTTGGGAGGGGGGAGGGGGCCCAGTCGTGGGGCCTGAACTCTGGGCCTGGGTGCTGTTCCTTAGCTTTTCAGCTCAAGGCTAGCGCTCTACCACTTGAGCCACAGCGCCACTTCTGGCTTTTTTCTTTTTGCTTATGTGGTGCTGAGGAATCAAACCCAGGGCCTCAAGCATGCAAGGCAAGCACTCTACCACTCTTCCCAGCCCTGCACCATCCATTCTTGAGTGAAAAAGCTAAGCCTCAATACTGGCCAAAAGAAAAAAAGAACAAAGAGCATAAAACAGAGTTTAAAAATAGACCTAAAAACATAGCCAGTTGACTAAATTGCCGCCGTAATTAAAAGGGAATTTTTATTTTGTTTTTTGTTTGCTTTAACAACTGGTGTTAAAACAGCTGCTTTTCTTAGTAAGGGAGAGGGAAACTACATCTGTTTCACTTAAATAAAAATTAACTTAAAATAGATTGTAGCTGGGCACCATTAGCTCACGCCTATAATCCTAGCTACCCAGGAGGGTGAGATCTGAGGATTGCAGTTCAAAGCCAGTCTGGGCGGGAACATCTGTGAGACTCTTATTGCCAGTTATTCACCAGAAAACCAGAAGTGGTGCTGTGGGTCAAGTGGTATAGAGTGCTCACCTTGAGCTGAAGAGTTCAGGGACAGCGCCCAGGCCCAAAGTTCAAGCCCCACAACTGACAAAAAAGTAAAAATAGATTGTAACCTAATTAAAAGGCTAAAACCATGAAAGTTTAAGAAAATCATAAGAAATTTTTCTAATTTACTAGGATCACTAAGGGCTGGGAAGGTGGCTCAGTGGTAGAGTGCTTGCCTTTCATGCATGAGGCCCTGGGTTCGATTCCTCGGCACCATAAGCAGAAAAAGCCAGAAGTGGTGCTGTGGCTCAGGTAGTAGAGTGCTGGCCTTGAGCTGAAGAGCTGAGGGATAGTGCCCTGGCCCCGAGTTAAGGCCCCACAACTGACCACTGCTCCCCCCCCCAAAAAAAAAAGTACAATCAGTAAAATGGATTGATAGGATAGTATCAACTATTACTGGGGACATTGAAAGTAAGAAAATAGATGTGAAAATCTCCTTTGACATGGTTTTCTTGTAAGGCCGTGTTGAACATCTCCATACTTTTAATGGCTCAAGAGACTCTGGTCTCTTATTAGACAAGGTTGTATGAGGGGTTTTATTATACTGGCTCACTTGACTAAAGGTGAATAATCTCATAATGGCTGTCTGCCAGCTGAAGAACAGGAAAACATTTAGTCCAAGAAGCTGGAATCAGAACAAAAAAGATATACAGACACCTGATGACAGAATGAAATCCTAGTTCAATACAGAAACTCTGAAAAGGTTCTTGGAGAGTTACTAGTGCAAGTATGCATTCAAAGATTGAAGAATCTGGAGTCTGATATTCATGCTCAACACAGCAGCAGAAAACAAAATGCACCTGATCTAGAATAGTCAAGTATGGATGGATCTTGCCCAGGTTCACACAACTAAGATATGCACAACATTCAAACTCAGCCCTCACCAGCAGACCATCTGCCAGAATGATCTCATACTTTTAGCTCAACAAGAACAGAATCTCTAAGAACATCACAATGCAGGTAGAATAACTCAGCCGGTAGAGACCCAAGGTCATACCTATTCCATGGAACACTAGATAGACCAGGTCTCACTTGGGAAGGAGACCAAGCAGAGATGTAGGAAACCACCAAACCACAAGACTCCTCAACTTCCAGAGGCCAAGGCCTTAAAGGAGTATAGTTTCAAAGATGTCACAGAAAATGTCAACCTGGCTGCAGTAGCCCCAAAAGGCAGACAACCTGCTGGAAACCTAGCTGCTTTGCTGAGACGGTGAACCTCAGTTTTGGCCAAGTATTCCCACCCGGCAACTGGGTTTTTTGTTGTTGTTGTTTTTGTTTTTGCTAGCGCTTACAATAAGGCACAGAATGACAGCCCATGTCCTGGGCCTGGAAAACAAGGACCCCAGGACATTGTGACTTGAAAACAGAACCATGCACTGAAGACTCTGCCTCCTATCTGATCCTAGTCATTTCCCATTGAAGCTTCCCAAGAAGAAAGGTTTCGATGCTTCATGGTCCAGGACCCTTGTTGATATTGTCCATCTAATTCTGAAGGTCTTATCCTGGGATTTCAAAGACACTTGAAAGAGGCTAGATATCTTACCCTGGCAGTCCAAAAGGCTTGCTGTCTAACTACAAAAGATGAATGTGCTAAAAAATGGGAAGTCCATGCTTACCACATCTGTGAGCAGCTTCACATACCATGCATTTCATTTGCAGCAAGGGTTGGTGGCAAGATGTGGAGCCAGATGCTGATGACTTGTTCTCAAATAGCCACCTATAACTAACTATGCATAGTATGCATACAGGCTTTAGGGTCCTACCTGCATACCTAAGTTCTTTTTTTTTTGTCAGTCATGGGACTTGAACTCTGGTTTGGGTGCTCTCCCTCAGCTCTGAACCACATAGCTTCCGGTTTTCTAGTGGTTTATTGGTGATAAGAGTCTCATGGCCTTTCCTGCCCGTGCTGGCTTTGAACCTCGATCCTCAGATCTCAGCCTCCTAAGTAGCTAGGATTACAGGTGTGAGCCTGTCTTTTGACAGCAGGACCTTTTTCCCCACAGAGTCCTGGGCCTTGAGTTCAGAATCTTGGTGCTGTCTAGGAGTTTGTTTTGCTGAAGGCCAGCATTCTACCACTTGAGCCAGAGCTCCACTTTTGCCTTTTTTGTTGTTGTTGTTGGTCATGGGGCCTGAACTCTGGACTTGGGAGCAGCTCAAGACAAGTACTCTACCACTGAGCCACTGTGCCACTTCCAGTTTTCTGGTGGTTTATTGAAGATAAGCATCTCACAGACTTTCTTGCCCGGGTTGGCTTTGAACTGTGATCCTCAGATCTCAGCCTCTTGAGTAGCTAGGATTACAGGCTTGAGCCACCAGCACCCAGCTCATTTTTGCCTTTTTTGAAACTGGTTCTCACTAAATATTCCCTGACCTGGAACTCACAATGTAGTTCAGGCTGTAGTTTTTGTGATTCTCCTATCTCAGGAGGAAGGAAGAGAGAAGGGAAAGGAACCCTGTCACAGAACAAAGCACAGTTAAACATGATATTGAAACCTTTTATTGCTTTTTCTCTAATTTTAGTGTATTCTAGAAGTACACTAAGCTGTTTAGATTTTTTTTTTCCTTCACAGTACTAGGTTTTAAACTCTGAACCCCTTAGCACATGATACCTCTGAGCCATGCCTCTGGTTTTCAGTGCTTATTTTTCGGATAAGATCTTTCTGCTCAGTCACATGCCTACTTTAGGCTTTCCAAAGATGTGTTAAAATAGATGTCACAGCCACATATTAGCCACCTGGTGAGCTTGTCTCTGATGAGACTTGGGTCTATAGCCTTTCTGCTTAGGCTGGTCTAAACTTATGATCCTCCCTAGTGGCTAGGATTATAGGAATGAGCCACCAGCACCCAGCTTTGTTTAGAATTACTTGTAAGGCAAGGGGCCTTTTTTTATTGTGAGATTAATATTTTAAGTGCACTAACACACACTAATGTTATTACATTAATATTTGTAGTTATTACTACTAAGCATGTTAGGTGCTTATTATTTATGGATATTGCTAGGATTTTCCCCAATCTTTTTTTTGGGGGGGGAGGTCCGGTCGTGGGGCCTGAACTCTGGGCCTGAGCACTATCCCTCAGCTCTTCAGCTCAAGGTGAGTGCTCTATCACTTGATCTACAGTACCACTTCCGGCTTTTTCTGCTTATGTGGTACTGAGGAATTGAATCCAGGGCCTCATGCATGCAAGGCAAGCGCTCTACCACTGAGCCACCTTCCAGCCCCTCCAGTATTCTTCTTTGAATAATTGAAGTGGTTACCTTTTCTACCTTTCTAGGATAATAGATTGTGTATAATATAGTACTTTACTAAGTTAAGAGGCCTATAGCACCATAATGGTCCTTAAGCTCAAGAGTATGGTTGTCTGGCATCTTTTTTGTTTAAGTTAGTAGTGGAGCTTAAAATCAGGGCCTGGGCATTGTCCCTGAACTTTTTTTTTTTTTTCTCAAGACTAGCACTCTACTACTTTGAGCCATAGCTCCACTTCTGAGTTTTTGGTGATTAATTGGAGTTATAAGTCCATGGATATTCCTGTCTGGGCTGGCTTTGAACTACAATCCTCAGATCTCAGCCTCCTGAGTAGCTACGATTATAGACCTGGAACCTTTATTGCTTGACTTGAACACCTGATGCAAAACTTAATAAAATGCTGAATGAGATTTAATTTCTACTTACTCTGTTTGCTTCTGTACATTTTATCATCTTAGTCACCTACAGCCACTTTTGAAAAACACAGTGAACATCTGTCCCGAGGAGAAGGAAGATTTGGAGTAAGCCGACGTCGACACAATTCCTCTGATGGGTTTTTTAACAATGGATCTCTACGGACTACAGGAGGTAAGCTTATCTTAACTTTCCTGACTACCTTTTTGTTTTTGTTTTTTGGTCGGTAGTGGCATTTGGGCTTGGGCACTGTCCCTCAGCTCTTCAGCTCAAAACGAAGTCTCTACCACTTGAGCCACAGCGCCACTTCCAGTTTTCTAGTGGTTTATTGGAGATAAGAGTCTTATAACCTTTACTGCATGGGCTGGCTTTGAACCATGATTCTCAGATCTCAGCCTCTTGAGTAGCTAGGATTACAGGCGTGAGCCACCCGCGCTGGCCTTCCTGACTACATTTAAGCTAGTACTTAGGACAAGCCAGGATGGGTACCTATCCACAATCTATAAGTAGGATCTTTTGTGAATTCTCGGTTAGATCTTCTAGTAGTAACCACCCAACTTCATTGATTTTCTAGATGTAATTTTTCTTTGTTGTTGTTCTCCTGAATCTTTTTTTTGGGGGGGAGTCCGGTCTGGGCCTGGGCACTATCCCTCAGCTCTTCAGCTCAAGGCTAGCGCTCTACCACCTGAGCCACAGTACCACTTTCGGCTTTTTTTCTTTTTGCTTATGTGGTGCTGAGGAATCGAACCCAGGGCCTCAGGCATGCAAGGCAAGCGCTCTACCACTGAGTCACCTTCCCAGCCCCTCCTGAATCTTTTTGAACTATTCATTTAGAAATTACCTCACAGACCAGGCACCCATGGCTCAAGCCTGTAATCCTAGCTACTCAGGAGGCTGAGATCTGAAGATCACAGTCCAAAGCCAACCCAGGCAGGAAAGTCTATGAGGCTCTTATCTTCAATTAGCTACCAGAAAACCAGAAGTGGCACTGTGGCTCAAGTGGTAGTGTGCTAGCCTTGAGCTGAAGAGCTGATGGACAGCACCCAGGCCCACAACTGACAAAAAGAAAAAAAGAAATTACAAGGAAAAGATATATATGGCTTCCTTGTGTGTACTTATTAAAAAAGTTCCCAAAAGGCCTTCTGGTAGTAGGATAAACCAAATCAGGAGCATCAGCTTAATTCTTAATTCCCGGAATTCAGACAGGCTAATACTATTACTTTTTCCTTATGATTTTAGATTCCTGGCACCAGCCATCCCTATTCCGCCACGATTCTGTGGACTCTGGTGTCTCTAAGGGAACATATGCTGGAATAACAGGGAACCTATCTTACTGGCATGGATCTTCTCGAGGTCATGATGGCATGAGCCAGCGTAGTGGAGGGAGCACTGGGAACCATCGACACTGGAATGGCAGCTTCCATTCCCGGAAAGGCTGTGCCTTTTCAGAAAAGCCACCTACAGAAATTAGGGAAGAAAAGAAAGAAGACAAGGTGGAAAAGTTGCAGTTTGAAGAGGAAGACTTTGTAAGTATGAAGCTTCGAATGTGAACTTAAGCTAGGCACCAGGCTCATACCTATGATTCTAGCTACTCCAGAGACTGAGATCTGATGATCACTGTTTAAAGCCAGTTTAGCAAAAAAAAAGTCTGTGAGACTCTTTCCCAATAACCACCAAAAAGCCAGAAGTGAAGGTATGGCTCAAATAGTAGAGTTGTACCCTTGAGCGAAAAAGCTAAATGACAACACTGAAGCCCTGAGTTCAAGCCTTAGTACTGGATAAATAAATAAGAACGTAAATCTAACAAATAATGTCTAAAAAATGAAATATTTCAAGAAAAGAAAGTATCTAGGTGCAGACTTTCATTGCTTTTTTGTTGTTGTTGGTCGTGGGGCCTGCACTCTGGGTCTGTGCACTGTATCTCAGCTCTTCAACTCAAGGCTAGTGCTCTGCCACTTAAGCCACAGCACCACTTCTGGCCTTTTCTTTTTTTTTTTTTTTTTTGGGGGGGTCCGATCGTGAGGCTTGAAGTCTGGGCCTGGGCGCTGTCCCTCAGCTCTTCAGCTCAAGGCTAGCGCTCTACCACTTGAGCCACAGCGCCACTTCCGGCTTTTTTTTTCTTTTTGCTTATGTGGTGCTGAGGAATCGAACCCAGGGCCTCATGCATGCAAGGCAAGCGCTCTACCACTGAGCCACCTTCCCAGCCCCCATGGTATTTTTTAAAGTATCACTTTATCTAGTTATTTGTGTTATAGCCATTTCTTTCTTTCTTTTTTATTGTTTTAGAGGGGATATACAGTGGGATTATCTTTATATAGGTCAGATAATAAGTACATTTATTTCCTTCTGCTTAGTATCAGCTGTTCCTGTATTCTCTCTCATTCCCTCTGTTACAGCCATTTCCATAGCATGTTAATGAAGTCAAATGAAAACAAGCCAAAGTTATAGATTAGTCATTTTTCATTAACTCTAAAAAATACCATAGGAAGACTGGGAATGTGTCTCAGTGGTAGAGTGCTCAGCACTGAGAGACAGCGCCCAGGTCCAGCCCAGGTCCAGAGTTCAGACCCCAGACCCCACAACTGACCAAAACAATAACAACAAAATACCATAGGATTATTATATAGACTTTATTAATAAGATGAGTTATCATAAATTTCTATCCTGTTACTCTTGTAAACTTTCTTTTTGGAAAAGGCTGTCCTTGTCTGACAAGCTGATTGTTTGTTTAGAATGTTCTAGATACGCAGTAGTCCAGAAGTCAGAACACCATATTACAGTAGTTTTTAGCTGACATAAAATCTTTAAAGTACATACTTACAACATATGCCACTGAGCACATAGAACAAAAATTTGGATACACAATAGTTTTAGTTCCCTCGGTGCTTTGGTTAAACTAGAGAAAATGATAGCAAAAATGTGAGTTTTGCCAGGCACCAGTA